TTTCCTCGAAGGTCAGGGGGGCTGCTGCCAGTTCCCCTCTATTGCTGCTATTTTGGGTCTTTTGGTTTTTTTTACGTTATATAAGCTGGTGTCTCATCTCCGGGCCTGGACACAGTTCGTGATTTGGGTGTGAACTAATTAAAGCCAAGTTCACGGGGCCTCGTTGGCAGACAATGGCATCGCGCGCTCTGCCTGCTTAACGAGCGGCACTAACACACGCGGCATCCAGGAAACAGCACGACGGCAAATCACCGACGCGGGGAACACGGCCGGCACTACCTCCGAGCTGACCTCTCGGACCCGGCTGGGCTAATGAGCGGCGTCCCGAATTCTGGGCACCCAGAGGCCGGCGCGACAGCCCCTCAAGCATCCTCATCCCTCCCAATGCATCCCCCCCTTGACATTGCCTCCACCTGCCGTGTGCCAAAGCTTGGGATATAAACCCCAGTGACCTCCTTGCTTTCAGCGGGGCAAACCCAAAACCGAGCCTCCGGGCTCCCCCGGGCTCGGGTCTCACATCGGGGTGTCTGCCCTGTTTCCCGGGACGCTCCCCAGTGTCCCCTGGTTTGCTCCCCCAGCAGAACTCACGTATTGGCTTTGACCCTGGTTTGTGGGGCAGCCAGCCCTCTTTTTGGGAGGATTTGCAGCTACCCAGCGTATCCCGTGTCTCAGACTCATTTAGGTGAGATTTTCTACCTTCTCACCTCAGAGTTATCCCTGAATTTCCCCCGTTCCCCCTGCACACGTGTGAGTGCAATTCTCCCCATGCAAAGATACAAAAGTGTTTGGGAAGTGTCTCCACGCCAGCACAGCCCCATCCAGAGCTGTTGGGAACAGAGGAGAGGATGGAGGTACTCACTAGGAAGCCCAGTACCAGGCAGCGTGGGTCTGGATGTAGCCCTTGACTGGCTCGCTGCAAGACAGAGGAAAGGGATGCTGAGCAGAAAGCATGAAAAAACCCAAAAAATTTCCCAGGTTGCTGCTGAATTAAACCTGGGAACGCAGACGGGGTGATGCAGCATGGGGTACATGGTAACAAACAACAACCCACGGCTGAGTCTCCCCGTCGGCTGGAAAGAAATTCAACCTGTCAAGAGGGAACAGTGGCCCTGCTGCCATCGGCCACGCAGCCGGGCTCGCTCAGGGAACGGCCGCTGCCGGCTCCCGGGAGTGATTCAGGAGCTGGAGCGCTCGGGCTGACGGTGATTCATTATTTATTCTGGAGGAACCTGAGCTGCACATGCCCATGGTGCTCGGTTACCCGAGCCGGCACAGCCGCTGCTCGGTGTGGGGCATCTGCACGGGGGGTGACCCGGTCCCCGGCGCTGGGATCCGATGGCCTCGGAGGGTCCCAGAGGAAAAACCCCGCAGCCGATGCTCAAGGGCGAGCAGCCGAGTGCCCAGAAGGGACGATGGACGTGCAGGAGGGGCAGCAGAGTTACCAAAGGACCCCTCAGGGTTCCCTCAGTTTCATTTTTTCTATTTGAGCACACGGGGAAAAAAATTCAGGTCTCTGCATAAAAACACCCCCAGAAATAGGTGATTCCAGAGCAGGTTGTTCCCAGATCAGAGCAAGTGTTACCACTGCATGAGACCTACCAGAACGTGAAGAAAGCCACGATGACCACAGTGACCAGGAGCTGGACCATCAGGATGGCGTAAACCTGCAACGAGAGGCAGCCCGAGGGTGACCCGTGGGGGGACAGCCCG